ACACAGTCTCGCACGCTAGAGATAAAAATGTTTTCTTTTTTTGTCATTGCTTGCTTTAAAATCGCTGAGTTTTTTAATCAAAAATTCATTAAAGTTTACAAAATATGAAATCGATAATACAATAAATTTCAAATTAAGGCTTCCAGATACCCACATTCGTGGGAGGATTACGTTACTCAAAATTTGATGGCTCTGGGATTCTTTGATTATTAGCTCGAGTTTTTTTTTTTATCATTGCCTTTATTTTATCTCTAACAGCAAATAAATTAACATTTTGTCATTGTAATTCTAAATTTATTTCATTTAACTTTCCTTAATTATCAGCTAAATATGCTAAATGTGCCAACCATAATTCCCGAAATAAACATTTTTTCAATTCAAATATTTAATTACAGAGGAAAATCTATCCTAGAATAGTATCTTAAAATCGTAAATATTCTTGAATTTATAGTTATAGTTCGTCTTTTAATAAAATTAACAATTTTCACAGTTTGATTTAAACGACTTTCAGGCTTTCAGGGATTGTTTCGGCTACTAAAGCTTCACGATGTATGGAGCAGTGTGTAAATTTAGCTTCAGCTGCGACTTTCGTTATTTGAGAAGACACTCCGGAATGTTTTCCTGTTAAAGCCCGAGCTCAATCATTGCATACGGCAATGCACTTAGGAAAATTATTCTCAGACATAAAATTGTCAATTACTTGATAATAGAGCAATTGCAAAAAAATTTCACCCACTTACTCTAACATGAAGAGATTCACAAAATAAAAACTCTTCAGCAATTCGTTTTTCTTCTTCGAAACGTATGTAAACTAATTCTTTGAACAACGTTCTTTATATCAGTACTTTCATTCAAATGCAATGCGAAATATTCACCATGTTTTATTTTTTGAATAAGTGTCTCATTTATGGAATCTGCCATTTCATGAATTCGTCGATTTACTGTATCATTTGATAAAGGAATATTATTAAGTTCATTAGCCGCTTTTCCGTTGAATAATGTTAAAACGATATCTTTAGTTGCTGGTAGTGTAAGGTTTTCTCCAATAGTATGAGCCTGCCCAGTTTTACAAAGCAACAATAAGACAAAATACCTGGTGTTAGAGACAGCAAACCGACGTCAAAATGATTTTCATTGAAAATAGAGAAATATGAGCCCGGAAATGGCGACATAAAATGATGAAATGCTAATGAATTGATAAGCTCTAAGAGAATTAATGAGATCCTATTATCTTTTTTATAGGAACTTATTTTTATTTACTATTAAATGCAGCAACCATTTCTATCACTCCTTTTAAAAATATTTTTTATGGCAAATTTTGTTGTGTATACAGCTAAGAGAATATCTGGGAAACATACAACATGGAAGAACCACGAAAACTGTCATGCAGACAGATAGTTCGCCTCTTCCTAAAGCCCGTAAGCAGCTTTGAACAAAGCTCAGATCACAAAAATTTACAAGTAATAGAGAAAAAACCCAATCAGGATGTTGGGGTTTTAGTTTTTGAATTTAATAGTTAAAAATACTTTGCTTCCTTGCCTACCACCTATTTTTCTCTTGCTTATCACCAGTCGTACGCGCACCAAATTTGGAAATGGGTGGTGGACAAATTTATTAATATGCTGCAGAGCAGGGGTTCTTTAATTAATGAACCTGTTGTTGACGGTATACACAGTCAATACATGGTAAGTCATTAAACTAAATGATAATTCCAAAATGGATTAGGCATATTTTAAATCACAGTAATAAAGAACACGTTTAGAATTACAAACAACAAACAAAAAATATTTTATTGTTATCTGCTCTTGTTTCCACTCTAGGCAAATTAAACTTCTCGACAACAAAGATAATATTATCCTCAGAGAGAGCTGCTACAAACCTGTAGTCTGGATTATTATTTTAAAGCAAAATTTTTCAATTAGAGTTTCTATTCAATCGTTCATTACATACGATTTTTTATTACCTCCTGATGTCACGAGATAGATTTTTAACGTAATTCTGGCAACTTAACTACATTTCTAACATTAAACGAATAAGAATTAAAAGTTCGATGTAAAGATTTCATGTTTTTAAATCATTCAATATAGCGTTTTGACAGGATCTTAGATATTGCCGGCGGTTTTGGATCGCATTCGTAAATGAATTTCAAGGTCTGTCTTTACTCCTGTAAAGCTTGTCAATGCCTTTCACACTTTTATCTCAATTTTTCTGCGTGGTGTAGCTGTGCCGCTGAAGCATAGCTTCTCCTAATTCATACTGATTAGCATCAATCTCACAATTTGCATTTCTCTACGCGAAATTCAAATATGGCAGATTCTAAAGAATATTTGTCTCGTAACCATCGTGAAGGGCGGTTTGTCTCTCTTCATGAAGTTCACGACTACCTACTGCACATGAATTGCAGAAGAAATTGCAAGATTTCCTGCGCATGCCTGTTTAACACAAGGAGGTTAGAATAGGAGGGAAGGTTCAACTCAAACGGTGAAGCTTGGAGGCCATGTTACTGTTATCACTGTGACTTGTGCAAGGAAGTCTGTAATTGTAGCATTTTTTCTTTTTCGTTTTGAAGCATGTCAGCTTATGTTGCATATGGATGCACTAATAGATTTTCGAAAAATATTCCTGGGATTACTGTTCACTCGTAAGTATTGATTTTCTGGTTTTTTAAATGTAATTTCATAAATATGTTAAAAAATATACCAATGTCATGTTGTTTTCTTTCCAGATGTGACAAAAAAGACTTAATAATAATCGAAACATGGGTTTAATCCTAGTATCCGGTGCACACAGGATTTGGCGACTTTATGATGAGCAATAAAAACAGGACTTATACGATGAGTAGTAAACGGGTAATTCAAAGAATATATATAGTTATACATAGTATATACTTAGTATATAGTGTATAGTATATACATAGACGTTGTTTGGGTATGTATATAGTGTATAGTACATAGACGTTGTTTGGTCATTTTTGGTGTTGGCGATAATTTTCAAAATCACGCCAAGGCTGCACCGTATACTAGGATTTTACCGAAACATGTTAAATACATTTTAATGTTTTTGCTTACAGCTGGTATCTTCGTTCCTTAGCATACAATGATATATGCTAGGATATAATTTGAACGCTTAGATAATTCGTTTTATAATTTTCATGAAAAGTAAGAAATCAATTGTTACTATTTTTATGAATTGTAAAGGTGTTAAATAAAGCAACGCTTTTCTTTATGTATTAATTATTATTCATTCTTAAGTTTGTGAACGTTACGAATATAATTTGTGCATTTGATCAAGATAAACTGTTCTGTTGTTAAAATGTTTTTGCATAAGCTTACAAATTTCCGCGCAGTATAGCGATAAACGTAAGTAAAATATTTACACAATTGAACATGTGGAAAAGAGATATCCAAAAATTTATATAGGTAAATTTCTGTAATTCAGCTTAATTCAAGGTAATTTCTTTGAGATTCATAAATATGAAACTCTCATAAACTGAAATCATTGAATTCACATAAATCTGTTTCATTTTATTAATATTTATTTTCTTGTTGATATAAGGTTGTTGGTTGTGAAAAGAATCTATTTAAAACTTTCATTTAAAAAAAAGCAACATGTTATCATTTTTTTAGATAATTATCTGCTATTAATTTCAGGTAAAAATGATTCTTTAATAAATTATAATAATATTGCGAATAAATCAGAAATATCACTTCTTAAAGAAACAATTGGAAAGTATACCCGAGAAGTTGCTAATAAAACCTAAACAAATTTTTGAAATTATGCAGAAACATAATTTTTAAAGGCTTTAATGTTATGCACATTCATTTAGATTTCGAAATATTTCTTAATGATTTTTTGTACTTAGTAAATTACAGGTATCATCTATAAAACAAAAAACTAACAATAGCGAAACATTTCGTTATAAATTAACATATTTTTACAGGAAAATTCATGCATAGAACAGCTTACAAACACGCACGTTTCACTACTGTATTGCAATGTTTTGAAGTAACAAACATGAACGCCACTTCTTCCGTGGAGTTTCATTCTCCGATAGTGGAGGAAACTGCGAACCCTCCCCTCCTTCTATTCTAACCTCCTTGGTTTAACAATGCTGTTTTTTCACTTTTGTTTTCTCTAAGTTTTTATTTCAGTGTTTCAAGAAGCCTTGTGCATTAAAATACTTCGTACATTAAAAAAAAAAAAAAAAAAAAAAAAAAACAGAGAATACATTTTGAAGCTCAGTTTTAGGTTTCTAGTTTACATCAGCTGGACCCAAGCATTCGCACAAACATTTGGTTAACAAATTATTTTGATTCGAAAATGAAATTTAGAAGAACTTGATTTTGGTCTGATTTTATTCTCCTGTTGATTTTATCTTGAAGGATCACTGAGCTTTAAATTTCAATTAGAGCTCAATGAGAAATACAAGACCATCACTCCATTTTTCACTTAAAACTTGGTGGAAACAAGCAGTAGCTCTGCTTTTTGAGGGCACCTTTTCGAAGAATATGTATTGTATACGTAGACTTTCTTTGACATATTGCTCAAGGAAAGAATTTTACATAGTTCGGTACTGCATTGAAGTTTCTTGACAGATTTGGTGATCAAGAAACTAACTAGATCATGTAAAATGTCTCATTAGATTGCATTTATGTCCAAAAGATAAGCAATAAAGCGGATAAAAAGAAAAGCCTCAAATTCATTGAAAGTATCAGAGGTTTGGGGTTAAACAAAAGACACACGGGAAAACGCAAAGCAAATTGCCAATAAATAATGAAATAATAATGATAAAAAGAAGCATAAGATTTTTTTTTATCAAAGACTTCCTTTGTGGACACCTTTCGATACAGAATGTGATGACTTACATTGCAAACATATGCTCGGCGGCAATGGTCCATGCCAAGTCTTAGATCATCTAAGAGATTTCGGGTTAAGAGAATGACATAATTTTTAGCTCATAAAAGTTCCGCCGGAATCATGGAGAAGAGATAAACTTTTTTAAGACATGTTTCTTTAGTGTTTGATAGAAATCAAGTCCGATGATCTCACTAACTTTTACATAGGATGCATTGCCCAAAATTCAGGTGCTGATAAGTCAACCTTGCTAACTCTGTAAATTCGCGTATCATCCTAAAATATTGCAGCAAGACAGTGGTTAAAAATAATAGAGCGCCGTCTTGTGTGTAAAATAAAAACGAATGTGATAATTTATTGACCTTCATAAGAACAGTACATTTAACTTTATCCTGAAACATACGATTGCACTAAAAAAAAAAAAAAAACAAGATCGAAAACAATGAGTTGACATCGAAACATGTTACGAAGGTTAGTTTTACCTTTGAAGTTTAGAAGTTCACAGTAATGTATTGAAAGACTGCGAGTTCAATAGAAAGGAAATATTCGCCTTTCGAAAAATCAGTCAAATGTTCCATGATGTATGATTTTAAAGTACATTTTAGAGCTTAATTTACAGGTAAACAATTTTGAACATTGGCACGATATAACGAGTAGTAGTCCGAATAAATAATGTCAAACTATCAATCTGAATTGAAAATGGACCGTGAAAGAAACGTCAAAAGTCTTTTAGAAGACTTCGCTCCAGGTCCTTTAGATCATTATCGAAAGAAAGCAAAATTTGATTGGAAAGAAATGAAGGTGTTGATGGAAGGGGAAGAAATGCTAAAATTACAGGTGAGTTAGATAATATACCATTTCAAATGACCGATGAACTAATAGAAATAATGTGCAGCAGATCTATTTTATGTATGAAGATTGTGTTTTTTCTTATTTGTCTAAGTAAGAGGTTGAAATTTTCTAGCTGCAATAAAAAAAGTTGCTATATATTTCACTATGCAGCAAAAAATTTTGTTTCACATTTTATTCTCACGTTATTTTAATTATATCTAATATTTAAATAATGGGGAATTTTGTAGATAGATTTGTATGTTCTGTCTAATATTAATGATCACTTTGCACAAGGTAATTCAAGACCTTACACACACATTTAGGAAAAGAAACATTTAATACATGAACTGTTGTAGTTTTTTTGATAGTAAGTTTTTGGTTTGTTGAGTTGCACAAAAGTAAGAAAAACAGGATTTATTTAGCACTTGGGTGCAGGTAAAGAATTTTTAGGTATTGAATGATTTCCATCTGGTATCCATATAATTCACAAAATGAGAAAAAATTCTGTAAATGTATTTCCTCTATATAAATACATACTTGATTACATCTGATTTGCATTTTTTTTTGCTAATAGGATAATCATCCTCTTATATATATATTTTGAAAAGGAAATGCTGATATTTAAATACGTATGTTATTTCTACAAATGTTTCAAGTACATTATGTTTTATATAGCTGCACAAAAATAGGAAAAAAGAGCATTTTTTATTTAACTCTATGTATTTGATGTAATATAAAACATTTTTACAAAAGAGTTAGTGGGGAAAGTAATTTTTTTGTTTTGTGTTTAATCACTTATTTTCATTTTATATGTAGAGAAAACAGATAATGTTAATAAAGAAATATTCAGCTAAATTCATAAATAAATGAAGAAACATAGTAAAAATGTCTTACATGTGTAAAAGTTAACTGCTATACCATCATCAACATTACTCTAAAATTAAATAAATATATTTGTTCTTCAGAAATACGTATAAAGTTCATCAGAACTAAACCTTTTTATTGCAGTATATTTAAAACTCTTCGTAGTAGAATTCTTGTAAAATTTTTAAAAGAATTATATTTGCTGACCAACGTTTTTAAAATCTGTTACAGTCAAGCAAACATATTTCAAATTTTGCAAAAAAGCCATAAAATAAAAATGCATGTGTGCTAAAGAACAAATACATTTTATAATAAAATTTTAATAAATAATAAATACATGTGCAATTTTTGAATATTTAGACTGTACTCTGCTATTTCTCTATTTTTCTCACATGTTTAAAAAAGATGGTTCAAATTTGGGATCTAACTTCTATGGAACAGACTATTTATATTTTATTTATTTATATTTTTTATTAATTGTTATTTATATTTTTTATATTTTATTTATTTATATTTTTTTATCAGTATTTTCTGTGCAACAGGATTCTGCTTCCCAAACAAAATGTGTGTTAATGAACACAATATTGAACTTAATTTGAAAATTGGTAAACAGTGGTGATGCAACATAGCCTGAGTATATAAATGTGATGACTCTTTTATTGTGATTTTTTTAAACGTGGGTAGGAAGTTTTGGCCATTTGAATGATTTATGCAAATTGTAATGAATTTTGTTTGTGAAATAATTTTAAGGCTTATATTTATTTTTTATATGTTATATGCATGACTTGTATTTGTTGATAGTCTAACTAAATAAATACCAGTCTGTTCTTTCAAATTTCCACTGGAATGATTGGTTAAAGTTTAGCTGGATCTCTGCCAATTTTCAGGGTAGACAGAAGACTATAGTACCAAAGGATGCATAATATGTTTCATCTTTGTATCTAAGAATTACCATGGTTATCATGGTAATTTTAAGGCACAAAGTCGCAAAATTTTAGAATCAGTATGCAAAAATGAGGAAATGCATTTTCAGTTTAAATAAAGAAAGAAAGAAAGAAAGAAGGTTCCAAGTTAAATAAGTAAATTTATTAAGGGGGTTCCAGGTTAAATAAATAAATAGAGTTAGTTGTTATAGAAAATTTTTACAGTAACAAACTATATAGCTAAGATACAATAACACGGCGAATAAGTATTAATATAGCAGTCAAACAACAAAAATCAATGTTATATTTTCAAATTTCTAAATTGACTTCTAAATTAAAACTATGTAGCATTTATTACATTTGTTATGTTTAAAACATACGTCCATGGCAAACATCAGATTTGTAAAAAAATCATTCATTTTTTTATGCATTTTACTTTTAATTCTAAATTTATTGCAGATTCCATTTTTGATATCAAAAGGGTAAAGAGTTCAAAATTTTGTTCAGATTTCTACATAATACTTTTAATCAGTGTTAAACTATTGAAAGCAAAAGGTAGATATTAAGCTGATATAATATTTTTAGAATAGTACCTATTTTTATTATTATTCAATTATTAGATTAGAATATTTGAATTACATTTTAATTTTGCATAAATATATTAAGAATCATATTTTAAATTATTTAAACAATTTACAATAAATAAATATGAGTAAAACAGAAAATTATAAAAATTTAGTGTTATAACAGCAGTGTCTATAAAAAAATAATTTTAATTATACAAAAGCTCATACTATTTAATTTTAATTCATAAATATAACATACACTGAAATTAATCCTAATGATTTTGTCTGTGATTTAAACATCTCTTTTCCAAGTGTTTAATATAGAAGCATAAGCATCTTAATATAGAATGTATGTTTTTGTACTATCTACAAAAATCATGCTAGTGTATTTAATTTAGATTTTAAACTAGAAGTAACATAAATTGTTTTTTCATATTAGCTACACCTATACAATCATATGTTTGGGTTTTCTGTGGATTTTGCTTTTATAAAATATTTATCCACAGAAAGTAACATTTATCAAAGAATTAGATTAGAATGTATTTTGTAGAAATTTTGTAGGGATATTCCTTGTATCAGTAAATTTTCATAATTATTCTGTAATTGTACTTAGGTATTCTAAGCAAAATTTTAAATTAATTTAAAACTTTTACATTAAGTACATCAGAGCAAAATCAAGAAATAATTCAAATTTAGTAACATGATAAGTGGATGGTAATAACGAGACTGCTTTTAAGTCTCTCATGAGTTTTAATATAAATCTGTTTAATGTTGAATAAAAAGGGCTACATAGATATTTGCTTTAATTTATTATATTCTTTATACTTTTGATATTAAAAGTGGAATTCATGCTATCAGATTGCAGAATCAAAAGCATAATAAAATTCTATAAGGATTGTTATTTGTCCTTTCTAAATCAATTTTTTTTTTTTTTTTGTGTATTTATACTAGTAATTTTTTTATGTTTGTAATGTATTGATCTATAATTACTTTTAAAAAATGTCATATGTAAAGTTTTATAATTTACATTTTATTTGTATGTGATTTTCAATTATAATAAAGAAGAGTTATGTCAGTATATTAATGAATAACAATAAAGTGTGTATTCTGAAGGATGGACAAATGATTTTAATATTTCATATTTTCAGGCACTTTTTGGTCAGTGTTGCATCTCACACGTTCCGCGTTTTTTGTCCACGTAAGATCCTTGTTGCATGCCATGTGACAAAGTGAAAAATTCCATTGTTGAAACTGAGTTCATCGCTACTCATACATCCTGCTAATTAAATTTATTCTCTTTAAATTCCTTGATTATTTTTGTATTTCTGAATACTACTAAGAGGGAGCACAACTAATCCTAGTTTCTTCACCATTTTCATAGTGAGATTTCCTGCCTTGAATATCTGTTATTGAATATCCATGTGATATCTGTTAGAATTTCGACTAAAAAACCATTTAAGATATTTTTGATATTCATAGCCAATTTTTTGATAAAGTAAGCATAATTTTTTTTTTATTAAATAAAAAATGATTTTGGTTTTGTGATAAATGTGGTTTTCATGCTCCGATGTCCAAGGCAAGTTGTAAAGCTATTTTAACAGTACGGTTGGAAAACCATTTTCTAAAGCATTTTTTACGTAATTTTGATAATTATTTTATGTAGATATTTATATTAAACACATCCAAACAATTAAAGTTAATAAAATATAGTATCGTATTGTATTTTTTAAAATTTAAAACTTGGGTGCATTGCAGGGAAAACTAGTGATCAGTGGACAGGATATCACATATTTGAACACCCATAGGTCCATCAAAAACTGTTTACTGTCAAAAATATTTTGTGGTTTTGAATTTAGGATAGAAAATATATTAATTTTCAGCAATAAAAAAGTACTTTTTGGTGTCAGAAATTTGGAAAAAAATACGACCAAGCAAGGGTTAATATGATTTTTCTTGTTTTTAGTTTTAACCATTATTGATTTGTCAGATGATATATATATATATATATATATATATGAATTTAGATAATAATAAGCATGCTGGTAATTTGAGCACTTATTTTGTATATAATTTCAAGTGAGTATAAAAGTTGTAAATTTCAGATGAAGATATGGAGAACATTGGAGAAGGATCCATTGTTTCAGCGATCGCCAACAGAGGAGTTATCTTCTCAACAGCATCGGCATTTATGTTTTCAAAGGATGAAACGCCTTATGGAATATCAGTTTTATACTTATGAAGAATTTTTAGCTAACCCTCTTTTAGCTCAAGGTCTCCTTATTAGTATTGGAATGTACGATTGGTCCCTTTGTACCAAACGATCAGTTTCTTTTGAGGTAAGATTTAGTTTGAAAGGAAAATCTAAAGGAATACACTGGATAAGAAAGTATTGAATAATAGCATAATTTTAATATCAATATGAAGAATTTTGGGAATATTATTTTAATACTAATTATACAGATTTTCTTTCAGGATAACATTCTTTCATTAGTGAGAATATCTTTTGAAACTTTATTATATTTAATTATCCAGTCCAATTTTTATTTTACTGCATAGACAAGTTTTCTGTTTTGTATGAAAGACTAAAATTTGCATATTTTTTATAAGAGTTACTAAGATATGATTTGTGTTGTGTTATTCTTATATGGTTAAATGTTATACAGGTGTAATGTTATTTTTTGTAAATAACTATTAATGCTATTTGTATTGGATTTTTATATGGAGTAGCTTATTTTTCCCTTGCAACAGTTTCAGCAGTTTTTAATGTAATATTTATATTTTTATGTCATAATTTTTAATACAATTAAAGTCTGTTTTTTCATTTTTCAGTATTTTGTTGGAGCTTTAAGAAGTTCTGGTGTTAAAAAACATTTAGATCTAATGAAGGATCTGGAGAAATTTGAGGTATAAATTATTTGTATGTGTGTAATTAGCAAATTAACAGTTTTGTATAATTTCTTTATCCCATGAAAAATATCTGAGTAAATTAACTTTTATGTTCAGATGATAGGTTGCTTTGCTTTAACTGAACTCAGTCATGGAACAAATACAAGGAAGATGAGGACCACATCTACATATGACCCTACTACACAAGTAAAGAAAAAAAAACTTTGTTATATTTTTATAGTGTTTTAGAAATATTCATATTCATGAAAATATATATATCATTCACATAAATATAACTGACACATTTAAAAAATATTACACTATGCCTTCTGATGCTAAAACCCCTGCAATAATATTCACAATATTTGGTACTCTTCTGTTATCGTAACCAGATTCAGAAATGTACAGAATGTGTTGTGTATACACATACATATGTACGTACAATATATAAATTTCATGAAATTTCATGAAAATATATATATCATTCACATAAATATAACTGACACATTTAAAAAATATTACACTATGCCTTCTGATGCTAAAACCCCTGCAATAATATTCACAATATTTGGTACTCTTCTGTTATCGTAACCAGATTCAGAAATGTACAGAATGTGTTGTGTATACACATACATATGTACGTACAATATATAAATGCATACATGAACACATTTCTGAATCCACTTCCGATAATAGAAGAGTACCCAATATTCATATCTGTTTGCTTTATTGTATGGAAGATTTTACTTTATATTGTTTGATCTATGTGCACATTAAGTGTAATTATTTTCAAAATATTTTTAAAAAGTGCTCCTTAAAGCATCCATCCATTTAGGAGATAGAATTTAAGTATTCTGTAATTAATTAACATAGCAACCATGCCCAAAATTTTAATAACTCTGAGGAATAACATGAATTTAATAACAAATCTTAACTCTGATAATCAGAATAAACCTTCAAAATTACAAGTATATTATTTTTTATGATTTGTTTATCAGTATTTAAACATGATCAGTCAATATTAATATATTTGTGTCATTAATGTATATCAATAACAGATAAAGATAACACATTAGGATGTAAACATTCTGTGGACATCAGCATTTTAAACATCATTCTCCAGTATTCATGGAAGAACTGCTTTCAAGTTTTCTTGATCTGTTTCTGATTTAATTGATAAAAAAATATTTCTTTATTGACCAGAGCTAGTGCTGGCCATCTGCCAGCAGCAAATAGTTTTTCCCAGTTATTGGCAAAAACTTGTTATAATTGTTTGAAATTGGCAAAGGTGAAGCAACTGGCAGAAGCCAATTAAAGTAAATATTAAATGTTGTGTTAATAATTTAATTTATATTGAAAAGGAAGTAATTATTAGTTTAATCTGCTTGTAATTCTAATAATGGGAAATAAAGTAAATTTATTCAATATCATTCATTTTAAATTTACTGTATTTCTACAACAATATGTGCTTGAAATTTATCTTTTAACAATAAAACACAAATAAGGCATTTCTTCCATAATATACTTGACCCTTGCATGCTTTGTGGAAATCTATTATATACTAAACAAGTAAGACAAATTAAAAAAGAAGCAAGCTCATTACCAGCAGCTTCTATTAAAATGGGATGACATATTACACCTTCATGGAGAGTATGGCTCTAATCGAATTGTTTTTCTGTCATCATTTTTTTTGCAACATGTTGAAACCTTAAAGTGTACCAGAACAAGCCATGGAATGTTATGGCAATGGAAGAAACTACATATCACATTCTTTGCCAGACTGAGCTTGTGACTGCTGAAAAGTCAATATAAGCCTTTGATAGCATAGACTGTCATGTTCAAGCATTAATATAGCATATACCAAGATAAGTCCATCTGTAATTAAAATTCCTTATATTATGTAGAGAAATTCAGGCCCAAGAGAGTGAGTAGAATACTTATTTAAGAAATGATCTTTCTTTTGAGATTCATTCAACAGTTGAAGGAAGGGAGTTATTTCTTCTCTTAAATCTCATATTATTTACTGCATCTGGTCTTTGCTCAATTGTCACTGGTTTTTAACTTGAAGCAAATCTGTAAATTTGGAATAAAGAACCTTTTAAAACTGCTTGAGATTCTTGTGTGTATGAACTGATTTTGATCAAAAATGGATACTAGTCAATAGACTCATTAAATTTATTAGAGAAGTGTTAAGGATGATAACATAGTGATAATGAATAAGAGTCGGCCCTCCCATTTTTTTAACTACACTTTTCTTTTCACTAGTCTGCATTACTACAGATGGAAAATTTAGATGGAAATAATAATTATCTTAATGTGTTTCTTAAATATTTATTATCTTTGTACATTGAGTATAGTTTTCAATAAAATGTCTGAAGGGTGTGGATTGTCTTATATTTATGCCTTTTGTATTAGTATGTGTTGTGTATTTAGTAGGTTTTAATCTGTGTCCTTTGGCATTATAGTTATGAAAGGATTTTTTTTTAAAGGAATTTGTGCTGAATACCCCAGATCTTGAGGCAACTAAAGTGTGGATTGGAAGCATAGGACAAACTGCAACGCATGCCATTCTTTATGCTCAGCTATATACTCCTGATAAGAAATGCCATGGATTGCATGCATTTATTGTACCTATTCGAGACCCCAAAACATTGTTGCCTTATAAAGGAATAACTGTTGGTGATATGGGACCTAAACTGGGCTTGAATGGTGTTGATAATGGGTATGATATTATTTTCATTATTAAATTTTACTTAAAATAGATTTCCTATTTTAGATGATCATCCTGCCCTTTGGATTTTCTTTTGAAACACTAATTTAGAAATGAAACTAAACTCATTGCAAAGCATAGTGAATAAATAAATATATGCATATAAATATATCTTCTAGATGCTTTAAGCCAAAGAAACAACTTCCTGAAAGTGACTTTTACCACTGCATGTAAAAATTAGTAGTGACTTTTGTTTTATAATTGTAAACAGAAATAATATAAAAAGAAAAATGAATATAATAAGAAAAATTATTACCGTATTTGACGGCATATAAGACGCACTAGCATATAAGACGCACCCTTATTTAGAAGTCCACACCAATGGATGTAGAAAAGTTTGTGTGGTTTTGATCTTATCCGGGCTAAAAATCAGTGTGAAAGTTAACCTGACGTCTAAGACCAGGTAAGTGATAGAAAAAAAGTGTGTCTTATATGCCGTCAAATACGGTAGTTATGTATTTATCATTTGGACTAAAACATTAAGTAAAAGAAAAGTTTCCCCCCAAACAACAAAAGTGTAAATATTTATTACCTATGTACATTGAGTATAGTTTTCAATAAAGTGTCTGAAGGGTGTGGATTGTCTTATATTTATGCCTTTTGTATTAGTATGTAGTTGTGTATTTAGTAGATTTTAATCTGTGTTCTTGTTTGTGTTTGTACAAAACATTATTCTGGAAAAATAATGTTGGTTGTATATCTTGAAAGATGTTAAAAAGAAATGAATGCAGACAAAACTTGATTTTTTATTGATGCTTACATTATTGTTTTATACCTAATGTCAGTCATCATCTAAAATAAAACATTCTCTTATTTCATTTTTATCTATTTCATCTTTATACAGTTTCTTATTTACCATCAATTAAAGTTTCTTATTTACCATCAATTAAGAGTCATTTCAGTTCTATCCTTTACATTTATAATTTTTAGAGAAACTTGGTTTTTCTTTCTGTTGCATTATTTAATATTTTTAAATGTTAAAAATAATATTTATTATATTAACAGACAATTTTTTTTTTTCTGCTTTCAAAGATTGAAAGCTTAGATCAGTAATTAGTAATAAACAGAAGGTGAAGTTATGTATTGAATATACCTAAAGCTAGTGATTATTTAGTTAGAATCTGAAGATTGACTTACATGCTGCAACAACAACTGTACCAGAAAATGTAGTTATATAAAACACAGAAGAAACATAAGGCATTATCAAATATAAAATTAAGCAAAATTCAGTTTTGCATTTATGTTATTTTTTTAGAAAACTGTCACACAATTTATAAACAAAGGTGGCTATTTTTCGTTATTTTTCCAATTTTTCGTTTTTAAAAGCTTGCTGTGTCTTAAAAATGCAAACTAATATGGTAATAATGTATTTATCATTTAATTTTTTGTAATATCGTTAGCTTTAACTAATATTTTATAAAAGCTAGATCTGATCTAAAAAATAATTTGCAAATGAAAATATTCAAAAGATTTCATTTTTAAGCAACTAAACTGAGTCAAAATGTCAGAAGTGCAGCTGATGTTTCTTGTTATAACATTTAAGAAGTGAACTTGAAATTTGAATATATTTTATTTTTGCAGCTATAGCATTTTCATGTTTGTAACAGAGTACTTATACATTTTACTTCTATTTCATTTTTGAAACTTTTAGATTTATTTCCTTCACTAACTACAGAATACCAAGGGAAAGTTTGCTGAGTAGAACAGGTGATGTTACTCCTGATGGTCGCTATGTGACTCCTTTTAATGTAATGTATTTAATATCCAGCTTGTTTTGATATATCATATGAATTTTTTATGCATAAAATACAGCTAGCTATCATGTAGCTATATGTTAACAACTATTTAAAGCATCTTAATGGAAAGTTAATTATATTTTTTTTTCATTTTACTTATATATTTTTTCTGCGCCATTCTGTTACGTTTTTCATATGTATTTTAAATTTAATTAAAGAATGTACTCAAATTTGAAATAAAAATGAAAACAATAGAATGCCTTTTTAGATAGTCCTTTATTAGTTAAAATGAAGATTATTACATTTTGCACATTTTTATCCATTTCTTATGTGTTGTATATTAACTATACAGTAAAAATTCGACTATCTAGGAAGCTTGAGAAATACTTAATGCTGAATGAGTGAAAATTATGGATAGCTTAACATATAAAAAGTGCAATTCATCATAAAAAACTAAATTAATATAAGAAGAAATTTCGAGTAAAAATTTATAAAAACAGTCAGTTTATATTTTATCAATTTGAATATCAAAAGTCTAAATTAAAAATTATGTAAGATTTTAGGAAAGAAAAATGTATTTCAGACATAAAAGCTGATATATTTCATAGGCTTTAAACACCTGAAAGTAAAGCATCTTATTCAATCATGAAATGAAAGTTGATGGAAATGCCATTAACTTGCATCAGTTATTTTGGCAGAGGTTTGAAGGAACAGACTGCTTTTTTCCTTATTTAAATACTCAGCAGATACAAGGTGTAATTTTTCTTGTTACATGACCACCGTGTATTCCTTTTCAAATAAAATCATATACTGTGCCCATTTAATGCACACTTTTTTTAACCCTAAGATCTCATAACATAATTACATAAAGCCTAGGCAAGGATTTTATAATCGTGTTTTGATGTCATAGTTATCCCTATTAATGCTAAATTACACTGTTTTATGACAGTGTCTTATATATGCATCACAATGGTTTATAAGATTTTTTTCACTAATCTGCTTATTTTTTTGGAGGCAGGTTTGTGAAATTCTAAAATATTACAGTTAGTTGGACTTTTACTGTACTTATTTGTTCTTGATGTCTGTACTGTTTGTTATTTTTGTAATGGCACATACATATATATGTATATGGTTTTAATTTGATTATTTCTCATTTCTATCCTAAAAATAGTAAAATGCTTATAAAAATCTTTCTTTTAAAATCAGTGTGTGTCTAACAAATTAACCTTCCTCATATAAGTCAAGTGACACATAATTATGCAACAGCAAAATAGAATAAAGGTTTTTATTAACTAATGTTCAGACTCAAATTTTTATTGACAAATAATAGTAAAGCATATGGCCTGTGAGAAATATAACAGTTTCACCGTTCTTAATATTGACATCTGTAGCATAAATATTTGCTTTTCTCATGTTTGCCTCTGTCTTGCTGACCTGTTAAAATTTTTGCTTGAAATTATTGAATACCAGATTCATCTTTCTATTACTTATGTTAATGTTGTTCTATTTATTTTATGATTTCTGCTTAAATAAAGATAATCTGTGAAAATTCATGATTGCTTATCAGTACAAGGCATTCAACAGCATTCTATTCATTTTGCTGTTTTCTAAAATTTTCCCTTTTTTTATGTATATATCTTCAGAAATAATGCATGCTACATACATTTCATATATCAGGTATAAGAAATTAAAGTACTAGATAGTATCAAAAAATTACATGAATTTTAATTTGCATAGAATTTATAGTAGGAAAATTAAGTGCTGAATTGAATTTCCATAAAAATTAATTGATTCTTCTGCAAAACTATGTACTTATATACATAACAAGGCCTATTCTATATACTTATATACATAACATGGCCAAAATTGTAGTGATATGCTAAAGCATGCTTGTAGCTCAAAGTGGATTCACGTATCAAATGTTACATTTAGGATATACAAAGTTTGAGCTTATTGAATAAATTGATAGTTGTGTTTTGTCTAAAAACTAAACAAAGTCATCATTTGCCATTAGCTGTTAAGAATTGTTAGCTAGTTTTAGTATTGATTAATACATCAAAAGAAGATATACATGTAGCAACTTAAACTGAAGTTTATAAAGATCAACAAGCATAATATTTATTTTTAAATAATGCAAAAATTTTTATGATATTCAAGCAATTATTATTTGTTATATTTTTATGTTGCCTTTTATATTTCCTTAAACTATAATGAAAATTTCCTTTATATTACCCAGTTTTTTAGTTTGATTATTATATTGTTGACTTGATTTTAGGATCCAAATAAGCGATTTGGTGCATCAATGGGAACGTTATCACTTGGAAGAGTGTTTATCATCAATATGTGTTTAACAAATCTTCAAAAATGTTTGCCTATTTCAATACGTTATTCAGCTCTGCGGAAGCAGTTTGGACCTGCTGGAAAGGAAGAATGGCCAGTTTTGGAATATCAACTCCAGGTAAATTATTTTCCTTCTAAATATACACAGTCCAGTCATATTAACGTGACCACCTGTCAAAAGCCAAAATAACCACCTTTCGGACTGCTGCGAGATGTGAAGAAAGAGAGTCAGGTTCTTTTAGATGTTTACTGGGATGTTGAGCCATTCTGACTCCAGTGTAGTAGCCAGCTGAGCTAGGCTACAAGTTTGAGTATCCGTGGCATAAACAACCTAATCGAGGTGTCCCACAGTTTAAGTCTGGGGAGTATGGTAATCTTATCCTGGTGCTCTTCGAACCACATATGTACACTGTGAGCTGTATGACACTTCACATTGTCATGCTGGCAGATGCCATCATTCTGAGAAAAAACAATTCACATGTAGGGGTGGACATGGTCTGTAAGGACAGATGCATATTTCTATTGATCCATCGTTAGAATAACAGAAATCTTTAATTAAATCCAAAAATGAAAAGGAAACATGTTGAAGAAAGAAATTGAATACATAAAGAAAATTATTCTTCAAAGATAGTATTATTATTAAATAACAATTATTATGATTCAGCCTTTACTATAATTCCATTCGTTTCCTCATGTGAGAGTTCTGAGCCAGATTAATTGAATTAATTGTATAATCTTGGACCACTATCCCACTTAATTGAATTTGACTGTTTGTTTGTGTCACCTGAGCTGTAATTAAATTTTAGTCAGACTTATAATGTTTTATGGTTTGAACTTTGGGAGGATAACCCACGCAGAAACTAAGCAAGAAACATTGGTTTTCATATTGAAACATAGCTCTAATTGTTAGAAAGATCTTAAAGAGAAGGAAATCAATAACTAGCAAAAATGTGGGAAGCTTCAAATAAATGACAGATAATATTTTGTTGAATGTTGAACAAACATAAATTTTAGCTTTTAATGTAAATTTCGAATTTCATTAGAATCAATGTCATAGATTACATTATTTTAAACGTGAAATTTTATTAGATTTGATTTTAATAGTTTTTTTAACAAATATATTATAATATTAAAATAAATTTAATAGTGGCATGTAAATCCTTAATGATTAAGGTTCGAACTACATTTAATATTGATAATTTAACGTTTTACCCTTAAAATATCTTACATATTAAAGTGAGTTATTGCCTTTCATTAATACTCACTGTGGTCACAAGATAAAATACAAAAATATAAAAATTCAAGTAAAACTTATTATTCTTTGGATCTAGTGAGACTAGTGAGTGAGTAATACAAAACAACTTATCACCTCTGGTGCTTTAGTGGCTTATTGGAACCTTAAATTACTTGGGTTATTGGGTTACATCCCCTGGAACTCTACACGAAGCTACGATACTAACTGCATCAAACAGAGCCTGACTGACTTTCAATATTTGCCAACCGTGCCTACATCAGGCCTTTCGGATTTGTTCAAATCAGCAGGTCTCTCTCTAGACAAGCAGCAGCAGTAACAACATTCAGTATTTTGTTATGAATCATTCTGGTTATGGTCTTATTTTTTATTTTAACTTATGCTGTTTACATAAAATCTACCTGCTATTTACTAAACCTCTAGACAGACCAAGTATGTGACAAAATGAGACACACACACCCAAAAAAAAAAAAAAAAAAAAATTGACATAAAGCTAACTATTTATAATATATAGTGTAATAAGTGTAATTCACTTATCTTCTTCATATGTCCAACCTATTAAAGTAATATTATGTACTGATAATGCTGATTATTTATCTCAAACTTTACCTTTAGCGTGTAGCGTTTGCTCCGCGCGTGACGGCAGTGGACGATGACAGTGAGTTCGTCAGCCCTTAAAGGGTATAATATTACGTTTCATGTTAGTAATATGCATACTACTTAGGGACTGTTGATTTGGGATGGTATTCAAATGAATTCAGGCTAGATAATATTTACTGGATTTATTCAGTTCCCATGGACCATAGTTCAATTTTTGTCATTATGGTCCTTAAATTCCTAAACGTATATACCATGTGCAGAATGTGTCGAACCCTGAACCACGGTCATGCCTTTGAGTCAGAAAATCGCTCTGTTTCTGCAGTATGCCATGATAACAGTGGTGTTCTGCTGTTCTGATGCCATGGTTAGGATGTAGGATTACGTGGTGTGTTCCTGCAGTCATAATATAGTAATACGAGGAGCACTAAAGTAAAGAAATGTGTGAGATGGGCGATGCTAAAGGTAAAGGGGGGTTGTGACAAATCAGTGCTCACAGATGATATCTAAGTGCAGTTCATTATGTGTAAATACTAAAATACAAATACAAGGGAGAAGATAAGATTAATCAAAATAAAACATAAAGTTATTGAGTATAATACTGTTTCATATATACAGTTCGGACAGCAGTATCATCTGAGAACTTATTAGCAAATCATAAGCACAGGTTGGGGAGCACGCTCCTAGTCTGCTCTGGTGAATGCTGCTGCATTTTTTTAATAAATTTGTGCAGTCAGATTTAAAATAATAGCAACTATACGTTGGACGTTCGGGTTGCTGTCTAGCATGAAAGCAGCTAAGGACCGATATGTCTATCTCTCCAGTATTCATACTGGAAAAAATAATTTGCTAGATGCTCACAGTCCTTAGCTTTCCTTAAGAAATTCTTATTAGTTTTACAAAGGAAATTGTCCATAGTCTCAATTTTTAGGTCCTTGTGTAAAACATCGTTGCGTACAAAGTAATGTGCGTTGGTTATGAGTCTTAAGAAGCGATTTTGAATTACTTGAAGCTTCTTTAAATCAGACGCAGACGCAGTGGCCCAGGCTGGTGAAGCATAGGTCATTATTGGTCGTAAGATCGACAGGTAGATAAGTCTCTTTTTCTCTAAACTAAGTTTGGAGAAACGGCCTAACATGAGATATAAACTTTTCATGACGTAATAGATCATTTTTTTGTCTTACATGATTGATATGATTTGTCCAACTCATTTTACTATTTAAAATCACACCAAGGTATTTTGCTTATTTTGCTTGAGTCACAACAAGGAATTAGGTTCGTTGAAAAGATTGAGTTGATTTTTTAGTTTCTTTTTCTTTTTCCTTCTGCGGATGATAAGAAGCTGAGATTTAGATTTTTCCCTTTCCAGTTCTTACACCATTCTTCGATGAGCGGGATGTGATCTTGAAGTTTATGGATGGCATGATTCACATTAGCAGACTTTACTGCTAATGCAGTGTTGTCTGCATAACACGCTAAGATGGAATTATTGCTGTGAAGAACAGTTGGAAAGTTATTTGTAATGCCGTCTGTTCCCGGGGCTTTCTTGGGGTAAGTTTTCTGATGATTTCAGTCACTTCTGCGGGATTAGTAAAATTTCTAATATTTCTAACAGTAGGAACATTAAGCCAATCTTTGATTTTGAGAAGCGTTTCTTTTTCAAAGTCTGAATTTGCAGACCAAACATTAGGAAGAAATTGCAAATGAGTCAGCTTTTTCTTATTTGGTTTTTCTTCTTATTAAAATGAAGGGGATGGTTGCTTGCATAATTAGTCTTCATGTTTTTAATTAATGTCCAGAAGGAGCTGTCTTTTATGCTAAGATTAACATTTTATCCACCCAAAGTTCTTCCTTATACTGATTGATAGCTTTACTGATCTTTTTATTAATTTTATTATAGTCTTTTTTGATTGCCGGGTCCCATGTCACATGATAGGATTTTCGAAGTCTATTTCTCTCTGTCTCATCATTTCTCTTATAGTTTTCGGCAGACGATAAAGATTTTCGCTAATAGCTATTTTTTTCACTAGCTTCATCACAAGTAGCTTGAATATGTGAGGTGAGTCAGTCGACTGCAGAGTCTATTCCACTATCAGTACACACATTATCAAAATGAATAATTCTATTTTTCATAAGATTATCAAATAAGCACCAGTCAGTAATAGTTCTATACTTAGCACTTTTCTGCTTATAAACACCAAGCGTAGCAATAAAAGGCAGGTGATCAGATGTCATCTCGTGCATAACATTAAGTTGTATCGCCATAGTCTTAGTAGTGAGAAGTATATCCAGAATGTCCGATGTTTTAATCCTCTCTGGCCGGTAAGTGTACTCATTCGGTGCATAGATAGCTATCGGATGGTTAAGAATATAGTCGTAAAGTATTTTACCATCTAGATTACTGCATCGACAGCTCCATGCAGAATGCTTAGCATTTAGGTCTCCAGCTAAAATCACAGGGATGTCACTTTGGAGGAGAGTATCTAGTATCGAGTCACTGAGTCTACTGTTGGGTGGGTTGTAGAATCCACAAAAATGAATTTTACCATAAGAGGGAAGGGTGTGTTCTGATTCTCTCGGACATCCTTTATATATGCTCCGCTGCAATGTGCTGTCATCTGCCTTCTTTGATTGGTTATTTCACGTTGACGTCGAAAGTAGGTGGTGGGCACATTAATGTGACTGGACTGTGTATGTGGTTGTGCCTTGTTGTTATAATATGGTACAATAATATAAGGCAAATGATTTTTAATTCTTAACTATAAAATTTTCTCTAAAAGCAACAATTCCTGAAGTAATAGGATTATTATAACAATTTCTAGTAAGGATACTAATTGAGAGTCCCTTCTAGAATTTAAAGTAAGGTATTAATTTAATGTTAGCTTTTGTTTTGTTAACGTAGAAAAAAAACATGATTCGCCATTAAAACAAAATGAACAGTTAAATATATAATAATTGAATATTTTTATTAAATATTTTTAAAAATAGAAGCTTTACTGATATTCCTTAATGCTTCCTAATTGTGTACTAATATTCATAAATATTTTGCATCTGTAATGTTAACTATTTAGAATGAATGTGGAATTTTGTCATTATTTTTAATCATAAGTGTCTTTCTAATGGTTCTGAAATTTCTAAAAAAAGAGTTATGGCATTCTGGTATCTAGTATAGGGGACACCAATGATATTTTTAGAGGGGGGAGAAGATACTCATGATTTTATTATTAATTTTTATGTACATACTTGTATATAAGGCGATATTTATGCATAATAAAAAGTGTGCAGTTCCCTTGTCTTTCTGTGACCTAAAAAAGTATACTGACATAAATAGTTGTCATGAA